GATCTTCGTACTCTTCGTTTTCGACAGCCAGAAATAAAGTGGCGGCTTGTTTCCCTGCGCCGGTTCGTAATGGCTTCGACGTTGTAAATCCTTTCTTTAGGTTAGTTAGTATTTTTGAGATCTATTGCTGATGTTGTCAATTAAGACTTTTTCCGAAATCAGCCCTCTTTGCCATGAAGACCTCGAGAAGCGTGACCTTGCGATCCGAAATGTTCGTACTGGTCAGGTCAGTCATTTGACTAACGAAATTGCTTATGTTGTTGTATGCTGACTGACCTTTCTCATTTACGCAATCGTGATGTGAAGATGCCGCGGTGTTTGAGAGGCGATTGAAAATGTGGTTTGTTGGCGCAGTTGTCTAAGAGCTCTGCCTCGAACTCCGCAAGTGCGAGGTTGAATTCCGCTTGAGGGCAATTGTTTCTTTTTTCCGTTGAACAAAGAATTTATCACCCATTGCTTCAGACCGGGGTTGTTTAGTTTCTAGGACGTCGAATTCAGAACCGATAGGTCCGTTCTTCCTTCTGATGTTGATAAATGAGTACCATTCTATGGGAAGGAAACAGGAGACCACACATCACGCTTGAAATATGGCTGTAGACTCTGCCTTTAAAAAAAATAACTCATTCCTGGCTGATGGCATTAAGACGGTGGTCAGCGGCTCACCTTTAACTTCATGATTCGAACGGCGTTAAAATGTCCCAAATAAACTTTATTTCCTTTTTTTGAAAATGGTTAGAGGCGGTGCGTAGGATTTGAGTCGCATTGCTTTAACGAAGCTATTTATTGCGTTCATTGATGCTTCGATTCGTTAATTGCCTTATTTGTTCGATAAATGCTAATCAGTTTTACGCCTCGTTGGCAATAGCATGTTCTGTTTTGATTGAAGCTTAAAAATTTCTCTATGTTGAACATATGCCGAACTTTAGATGGATTTGTGCAAGTTTTGTGTTGTCTCTGGTTTCTATTTTCACTTTCTATGAACTTTCTGAAAACTAGGTCGTTGTTACATGCTATAAAAATAAACTTGACTATTAAACGCTGTTAGATCGGTTAAAGCGTTGTTGAGAATGGCGATGAGTTTCTCATGAGGCGTTGTCGGCAGTCGATAAATCATTTCTTCGATTAATACACAATGTCGTTAAGGAAATGAGGTTTTGATCACGTGGTATTCAGGTGTTGCGTTATGTTGCTCATATTGCTTTCGAAATATGAAGCGCGTGGTTTGCACGGCTAACTGCTTTTCGTTGTGTTTGTTAGAAGAGGTCGCCAGCTGTTTGCACTTGTATGTGTCTGTGCCTATGGCATTACTGCATACTGGCATTGTTCACTCCGTAGAACAGCGTTTAATAGCGTAGCGGTTCCGGCTACCGTTGTGATTGGTCAGATTCGAGTACCAGTATGTGAAAAGGAAACTTCGGACTACACCGTATGCTTGCCACGTAGCTGTTACCGGTTCTGTTAAAAAAAG